AACTCTGTGAAATAGGCTTGCTCCGAATAATGACTAAGGTCAGCAATTAGTTGTCTGCCAGACTTTTCCATGTTCCCTCTAGTTCTTAGAGAGGGTGGGCAACGTTCGACACACCCAGCACCTCCCAGTCAAACATCTTATAAATTCAAGTGTCTCAGCATTATTATTTTCTGACAAAAGGATTGCTGCAGCTGGGAAGGTCCAACAAGAGATGCAGGTATAATGAATGGATCTCTTTTTTAATAATGGTAACTATTTTTTAACTTCAGATAATGTTAATCTGTATATGTCTCCTGCAAGCTTCCCTAAACATGGTTGGGGTTTTCTTTCTGGTTTCTTTCTGATGTTTTGTATGCACAAGGGGAGGGGGTATGGGTAAGGGTAGGGTTCAGAAGTGACTCCAAGTGGTCTTTACACAGAAATGCTTTTGAAAATAGTAAAAACTGTTAACACAGGAAAAGGACAATTATTCCTTCAGCTGGAAGCTCAGTCCACCCAACATGGACATTCCAGTGCTTTCTAGATGTTGGAGGGAAATTCCTGATGGCTTCATAAATCTGTTTTAGCTTCCAGTTCTTTTCATGTTTACTTCTACTCATATACCTAGTTTATGGTAATATGTCTTTTATGGATATCAGATCTGTAGGAGGAGATGAATGGTGAACTGGTCACAGAATATATCAGATGCCCCCAGCCCCTGTAGGCTTGAAAGATGCTAAATGGGCATTGGAGAGACACAGAGATGTTCAAAGTCTACATACCCTTCAGCTGGTTAATGGAGGCGCACCAGGCTTCCTGCTAGATTTTTTAATGTTTCTTCTAGCTAGAATGAGGTGATGGCAGAGAGCAGAAGAACTGAGATGCCAAGGTGGGATGGAATATGACTGGACACCATGGTGGTGACACTCAACCCACTGATTTTACCTGTAAGTAAAATATCAACTTTGTGTGGAGTAATTCATTTTGTCCACCATAAATCACTCTCACTGTATGTAGATTCTGGAAACAGTCTCATTTTGAAGAGTTTCCTTCCATACCATCACCCTGCCATGCCCTGCCCCACCTTAATGCAGTTTTGTCATTTTAGCCCTGAGCCAACTTGGATGATCAATGATATATTCTTGGAAAATAATGTGTCCTATTTCTATTTATACAATCTTGTTATTTGTTGATCGATCGATGTAGTGTACCCATTAGGTGTCTTGTTGTCTCTCATAGAGGGAACTGAGTAACCAATCAGAATGGTGACCAGTTACAATTGACAATTATACTCTTTCAGAGGTTAGACATCTACCTTACCGGTCAGTTTTCCAGTATTTTTGGATATTCTCTACACCCACTGTGCCTCAGACGCTTACTGGTTATATTGCTTCACTGATACCAAATAGCACAAAATAATGGCCAAAAAATTACCACTGCATTGGGTACCATTCAACTCATAGATACAACCTTCAAACTTATTCTCATAGTCAAAACATCATATAGCAACTATAGAAGGAATATACAGTTGTGTTCAAAATAATATCCGTGTGTTGAAAAAAGTGACTAAAGCTGCAAATCCTTCTAATCCTTTTCTTTCCATTCACACAAATGCATTGGGAACACGACACATTCTATTCCAAATCACAACATGAAGAAAAATACATCAAATTTGTGTTGTTCCTCCTAAAAAAATGGAAGAAAAGTGAATATTAGACGGTTCAAAAAAAATGGCCGTGTTTGTATTCTTCTTTACAAACTCCAACATTCACTATATAAACTGAGAAATGTTTGAAGATTTTGCTTTCCTTTGAATGACTTCATGAATATTTGGTTGTAGTCGCACTGTTTCTGAGAACTGCTGTACATCTGTGTTGCATGGAGTCCCCCAACTTCTGGCCCCTGTGATCAGGTATTCCAGCCCAGGATGATTGGACCACATTCCACAGTTCTTCTCTATTTCTTGGTTTTGGCCTCAGAAACGGCATTTTTGATGTCACCCCACAAGTTTTCTATTGGATGAAGATCCGGGGCTTGGGCTGGCCACTCCATAACGTCCATCTTGTTGGTCTGGAACCAAGATGTTGCAGGTTTACTGGTGTGTTTGGGGTCGTTGTCTTGTTGGAACCCCCATTTCAAGGGCATTTCCTCTTCAGCATAAGCAGCATGAGCAAGTATTCTGATGGATTCAAACTGATCCATGATCCCTGGTATGCGATAAATAGGCCCAACACCGTAGTATGAGAAACATCCCCATATCATGATGCTTGCACCACCATGCTTCACGGTCTTCACAGTGTACTGTGGCTTGAATTCAGTGTTTGGGGGTCGTCTGACAAACTGTCTCCGCCCACTAGACCCAAAAAGAACAATCTTACTGTCATCAGCCCACAAAATGTTGCGCCATTTCTCTTTAGGCCAGTCAATGTGCTCTTTGGCAGATTGTAACCTCTTCAGCACACGTCTTTTTCCCAACAGTGGGACTTTGCGGGGACTTCTTGCAGATAGCTTGGCTTCACATCGGCGTCTTCTAATTGTAACAGTCCTCACAGGGAACGTCACACCTTCTTTCATCTTCCTGGAGCTGATTGTTGGCTGAGTCCTCACAGGGAACGTCACACCTTCTTTCATCTTCCTGGATCTGATTGTTGGCTGAGTCCTGCCCTTTCATTTTGGCTATTGGCTTCGCCCCATTTTCTATTCTTCTTCCAATGGTAGTTTTTCGCTTTCTTCCTCGTCTTTCAGGTTTTGGTTGCCATTTTAAAGCATTTGCCATCATTTTAGCTGAGCAGCCGATCATTTTCTGCACTTCTTTATATGTTTTCTCCTCTCCAATCAACTTTTTAATCAAGGTACGCTGTTCTTCTGAACAATGTCTGGAACCACCCATTTTCCTCAGAATTTCAGAGAGAAATGCACTGTAACCAGCATGTCCAACATTTGCTGCCTTCCTTCCTTAAATAAGGGCAATCATTACCACCTGTTTATCAAAGAATGAATGACCTCACTAATAGAACTCCACACGGCTATTATTTGTGAACACGCCCCTTTCAATGAGTGATTCAATGACACAGAATCAGCAGCATGCATGTCATGACTGTTGGGTCTGTTGGATTTCTATGACTCTACTACACCTGCTAGGAAATTATCTGCCATGTAGAAATATCATTTCCACCAAAAACAGGGATTGATCCGGTTAGTGATGTCTGACTGATAGTATTTTCAACACAACTGTATATCAGTAAAGTGTCAGCAGCCACTTCAGTTTCATATCCACCAGGAAGTAGAAACCCGGCCCAGTAAGAAATATTGAGAACTATTTTATAGAGTACAAAGTAACGTGCCATGTACATACATCAACCAGAGTTCAACACATACACTGTACTGCACGCCTGCCTTTCCACACACATGAACTTTAATGGATCCCCAGTCTTAGTCCGTAGGGTTCAATATTGAGTTGGCCCCGCCCTTTCCACACACATGAACTTTAATGGATCCCCAGTCTTAGTCCGTAGGGTTCAATATTGAGTTGGCCCCGCCCTTTCCACACACATGAACTTTAATGGATCCCCAGTCTTAGTCCGTAGGGTTCAATATTGAGTTGGCCCCGCCCTTTCCACACACATGAACTTTAATGGCCCCCCAGTCTTAGTCCGTAGGGTTCAATATTGAGTTGGCCCCGCCCTTTCCACGCACATGACCTTTAATGGCCCCCAGTCTTAGTCCGTAGGGTTCAATATTGAGTTGGCCCCGCCCTTTCCACGCACATGACCTTTAATGGCCTCCCTGTCTTAGTCCGTAGGGTTCAATATTGAGTTGGCCCCACCCTTTGCAGGGTTCTTCTGAGAAGGCCCGTCCACATGAGGTTTAGGGGGTGTCTATAGGGTTCAATATTGAGTTGGCCCCATTCTTCCAGCAGCACATTTGTCAGGTCTGGCACTAGGATGTCGGGGGAGGGGCACTGATTCTTCCAGGCACATTTGGGAGGGGCACTGATGTCGGGGGAGGAGGCCTGGCTCGCAGTCTCCGCTCTAATTCATCCCAAAGGTGTTCTATGGGGTTGAGGTCAGGACTCTGTGCAGGACAGTCAAGTTCCTCCACCCCAAACTGGCTCCTCCATGCCTTTATGGACCTTGCTTTGTGCACTGGTGGGCAGTCATGTTGGAACAGGAAGGGGCCATCCCCAAACTCCTCCCACAAAGTTGGGAGCATAAAATTGTCCAAAATGTTGCCTTAAGAGTTCCCTTCACTGGAACTAGGGGGCCAAGCCCAACCCTTAAAAAACACCCCACACCATAATCCCCCTCCACCAAACTTTACACTTGGCACAATGCAGTCAGGCAAGTACCGTTCTACTGGCCACCACCAAACCCAGACATGGCCATCGGATTGCCAGACAGAGAAGTGTGATTGGTCACTCCAGAGAACACGTCTCTCCCCTGCTCTAGAGTCCAGTGGCGGCGTGCTTTACACCACGGCATCCGACGCTTTGCATTGCACTTGGTGATGGAAGGCTTGGATGCAGCTGCTCGGCCATGGAAACCCATTCCATGAAGCTCTCTACGCACTGTTGTTGGGCTCATCTGAAGGCCACACCAAGTTTGGAGGTCTTTAGCTATTGACTCTGCAGACAGTTGGCGACTTCTGCGCACTGTGTGCTTCAGCATGCGCTGACCCCGCCCTGTCATGTGACGTGGCCTACCACTTGGTGGCTGAGCGGCTGTTGTTCCCAGTTGCTTCCACTTTGTTATAATCCCACTAACAGTTGAGCGTGGAATATTTAGTAGCCAGGAAATGTCACGGATGGACTTATTGCCCAGGTGGCCACCTATCACGGGACCACGCTTGGAGTCACTGAGCTCCTGAGAGCGACCCATTCTTTCATCAATGTTTGTAGAAGCCGCCTGCATGCCTAGGGGCTTGATTGTATACACCTGTGTTCCATGGAGGGGATTGGAACACCTGAATCACATGATACCCCTGGGAGGGGATTGGAACACCTGAATCACATGATATGGAGGGGATTGGAACACCTGAATCACATGATTGGGAGGGGATTGGAGCACCTGAATCACATATGGAGGGGATTGGAACACCTGAATCACATGATTGGGAGGGGATTGGAGCACCAGAATCACATGATATGGAGGGGATTGGGACACCTGAATCCAGTGATTGGGAAGGGATTGGAACACCTGAATCACATGATATGGAGGGGATTGGAACACCTGAATCACATGATTGGGAGGGGATTGGGAACACCTGAATCACATGATATGGAGGGGATTGGAACACCTGAATCCAGTGATTGGGAAGGGGGGCCCAATACTTTTAGCAATATAGTGTATGTAAAGATCATGAGGCCACCAAATAATGTCTTCATTCCCTGTATACAATGAAAATCCAACAAGGAGGAAAGGAAAATATAGAGCAGTGATAGAAGAAAAATAAAAACCACACAGCAATCACAAGAAAAATAAGAGAGGCAATGGAAGCCACACGAGAAGGCGACTCGATCACCACGTCAGATCACTTTTATCTTTTCCTTTCTTTCATTGGGCACCAGAAATAAAAATGTAATTTGGAGCATAATCCTTACCTCTTTCATATTTTTACATAGTTAGTCTGGTTGAAAAAAGATGCATCCAGTTAAACCAATAGAAGAAAGAAAAATGATATACAATCCTATATACACAATCCAATACCTGCAAAAGATCCAGAGGAAGGAAAAAACCCCCCAATGATGTATGATCCAATGTGCTCCACCAGGGGAAATAATTCCACCCTGATCCCCCAAGAAGCAATCGGATATTACCTGCATTCCATTTACCTATAAATGTTTGTATCTCTTTATATTATGTGCATATTTGAAATGATCCAGACCTTTCTGAAAACAATCATTAGTTCTTCAGGGAGTCTATTCCACATTTTCACAGCTCTTACTTTGGAGAAACCTTTCTGTATTTTGAGGTTAAATCTCTTTTCCTCCAGACATAAAAAAATGCCACCTTGTTCTCTGTGATGACCTCAGGATGAATAACTACACCGAGTTCAATATATGGACCACCTATACATGGTGATCATATCCCCCCCTTATGTATTATACATGGAGATCATATCCCCCCCTTATGTATTATACATGGAGATCATATCCCCCCTTATGTATTATACATGGAGATCATATCCCCCCTTATGTATTTATACATGGAGATCATATCCCCCCCTTATGTATTAAACATGGAGATCATATCCCCCTTATGTATTATACATGGAGATCATATCCCCCCTTATGTATTATACATGGAGATCATATCCCCCCCTTATGTATTATACATGGAGATCATATCCCCCCCTTATGTATTATACATGGAGATCATATCCCCCCCTTATGTATTATACATGGAGATCATATCCCCCTTATGTATTATACATGGAGATCATATCCCCCCCTTATGTATTATACATGGAGATCATATCCCCCCTTATGTATTATACATGGAGATCATATCCCCCCTTATGTATTATACATGGAGATCATATCCCCCCTTATGTATTATACATGGAGATCATATCCCCCCTTATGTATTATACATGGAGATCATATCCCCCCCCTTATGTATTATACATGGAGATCATATCCCCCCCCTTATGTATTATACATGGAGATCATATCCCCCCCTTATGTATTATACATGGAGATCATATCCCCCCCCTTATGTATTATACATGGAGATCATATCCCCCTTATGTATTATACATGGAGATCATATCCCCCCCTTATGTATTATACATGGTGATCATGTCCCCCTTATGTATTATACATGGAGATCATATCCCCCCTTATGTATTATACATGGAGATCATATCCCCCCTTATGTATTATACATGGAGATCATATCCCCCCCTTATGTATTATACATGGAGATCATATCCCCCCTTATGTATTATACATGGAGATCATATCCCCCCCGTATATATTGTACATGGAGATCATATCCCCCCTTATGTATTATACATGGAGATCATATCCCCCCTTATGTATTATACATGGAGATCATATCCTCCCTTATATATTATACATGGAGATCATATCCCCCCTTATGTATTGTACATGGAGATCATATCCCCCCCTTATGTATTATACATGGAGATCATATCCCCCCTTATGTATTATACATGGAGATCATATCCCCCCTTATGTATTATACATGGAGATCATATCCCCCCTTATGTATTATACATGGAGATCATATCCCCCTTATGTATTATACATGGAGATCATATCCCCCTTATGTATTATACATGGAGATCATATCCCCCCTTATGTATTATACATGGAGATCATATCCCCCCTTATGTATTATACATGGAGATCATATCCCCCCCTTATGTATTATACATGGAGATCATATCCCCCCCTTATGTATTATACATGGAGATCATATCCCCCTTATGTATTATACATGGAGATCATATCCCCCCTTATGTATTATATACATGGAGATCATATCCCCCCTTATGTATTATACATGGAGATCATATCCCCCCCTTATGTATTATACATGGAGATCATATCCCCCCTTATGTATTATACATGGAGATCATATCCCCCCCTTATGTATTATACATGGAGATCATATCCCCCCCCTTATGTATTATACATGGAGATCATATCCCCCCTTATGTATTATACATGGAGATCATATCCCCCCCCTTATGTATTATTATACATGGAGATCATATCCCCCCCTTATGTATTATACATGGAGATCATATCCCCCTTATGTATTATACATGGAGATCATATCCCCCCCTTATGTATTATACATGGAGATCATATCCCCCCTTATGTATTATACATGGAGATCATATCCCCCCCTTATGTATTATACATGGAGATCATATCCCCCCTTATGTATTATACATGGAGATCATATCCCCCCTTATGTATTATACATGGAGATCATATCCCCCCCTTATGTATTATACAGAGAGGATTTTGCTCACTTTAGATCCCCCCAGCTTGGTATTGCATGCCATTATTAAGCTTGTGATCTACCAGAACCCCCAGATCCTTCTCCACCATTGATCCCCCAGATCCTTCTCCACCATTGATCTCCACCATTGACCCCCCAGATCCTTCACCATTGACCCCCAACATCCGTATCCACCATTTACCCCCCAGATCCTTCTCCACCATTGACCCCCCAGATCCTTCTCCACCATTGACCCCCCAGATCCTTTTCCACCAGATCCTTCTCCACCATTGACCCCCCAGTATCCTTCTACCATTGACCCCCCCAGATCCTTCTCCACCATTGACCCCCCCACATATTATTTTCCACCATTGACCCCCCCCCAGATCCTTTCCACCATTGCAGATCCTTCTCCACCATGACCCCCCAGATCCTTCTCCACCATTGACCCCCCACATCCTTTTCCACCATTGACCCCCCAGATCCTTCTCCACCATTGACCCCCCCACATCCGTATCCACCATTGACCCCGCAGATCCTTGTCCACCATTGATCCCCCCCACATCCTTCTCCACCATTGACCCCCCAGATCCTTCTCCACCATTGACCCCCCCCACATCCTTATCCACCATTGACCCCGCAGATCCTTGTCCACCATTGACCCCCCCACATCCTTCTCCACCATTGACCACGCAGATCCTTCTCCACCATTGACCCCCCACATCCTTATCCACCATTGACCCCGCAGATCCTTGTCCACCATTGACCCCCCCACATCCTTCTCCACCATTGACCACGCAGATCCTTCTCCACCATTGAACCCCCAGATCCTTCTCCACCATTGACCCCCCACATCCTTATCCACCATTGACCCCCCACATCCTTATCCACCATTGACCCCCCAGATCCTTCTCCACTATTGACCCCCCAGATCCTTCTCCACCATTGACCCCCCACATCCGTATCCACCATTGACCCCGCAGATCCTTGTCCACCATTTACCCCCCCCCACATCCTTCTCCACCATTGACCCCCCAGATCCTTCTCCACCATTGACCCCCCACATCCTTATCCACCATTGACCCCGCAGATCCTTGTCCACCATTGACCCCCCCACATCCTTCTCCACCATTGACCACGCAGATCCTTCTCCACCATTGACCCCCCAGATCCTTCTCCACCATTGACCCCCCACATCCTTATCCACCATTGACCCCCCACATCCTTATCCACCATTGACCCCCCAGATCCTTCTCCACTATTGACCACCCCAGATCCTTCTCCACCATTGACCCCCCACATCCTTATCCACCATTGACCCCGCAGATCCTTTTCCACCATTGACCCCCCACATTCTTATCCACCATTGACCCCCCAGATCCTTCTCCACCATTGACCCCGCAGATCCTTGTCCACCATTGACCCCCCAGATCCTTCTCCACCATTGACCCCCCACATCCTTCTCCACCATTGACCCCCCAGATCCTTCTCCACCATTGACCCCCCACATCCTTATCCACCATTGACCCCCCAGATCCTTCTCCACCATTGACCCCCCAGATCCTTCTCCACCATTGACCCCCCACATCCTTATCCACCATTGACCCCGCAGATCCTTGTCTACCATTGACCCCCCCCCCCCCAGATCATTCTCCACCATTGACTCCCTTGTTGTACCCCCCCTTGAAATATATGATGCATATTCTTATATTTCTGGATCATATCAATTGTGAGCCAATGTGGATCATCTGGGGGGTGTCAGTACCACGCCCATTATGGACAAGAGCCCCCCCCCATGCTCCTTTGTATACACAGAGCTGAAGAAGAGATTTCATACATTGGCCTTCTCTTTGTCCCCAGTCCCCCCCCCCCCCTTGATGGTTCTGTAAAGGGCCTACATGCTCATATTGTCTATTTATGTAAATGATAAATTCTGCTCAAACCAACTGAAGAACAATTCAAAAATATATTTTCCAGTGTCCAATTCTCTGCCTTTGGAGGGATTAGAACTACCTGTAAAGGGGTTGCTGGCAGGTTAATATTACATATTCTTGGCTATCTTTTTAAAAATCATATTTAACAGTTGTATTATGTCCATGAGCTGTGGTTTCGGTATTTAACTATTAATGCTTTTTGACATTCAGATTTAAGTGGCTACTGCAATGCTCAAGTTCAGTAGCACTAACCCCCTTCCCCCACTCTATATACTTGATGCATGGTTCAAGCTATTATTCTTCCATTGGTGCTTCTATTTAATGTCTTCTATTAGAAATATTTGGAGATTTAATATTGACCCTCTGATAGTGTCTGTCCCTCCATCCACAGGGAGTCATGCTGAACCTCATCGTCCTCCTGGCACTCTGCCTCTCTGCTGTGGACGGCCAGTTCCCACGAGTCTGCTCTACAGAAGCCGCCTTTCACACCAAGACTTGTTGTCCACTTTGGAAGGACAAAAGTCCATGTGGTTTATTTTCAGGCCGAGGAAGATGTAGAAACTGGTCCAATTTACCTGGAAAAGAGATTCCCCTAACTAATGACGATCGTCTAGACTGGCCAAGGTTCTACTATGAGAATACTTGTGAGTGCAATGGAAACTACAGTGGCTTTGACTGCGGGGACTGTATATTTGGACATTATGGAAAGAAATGTGACCGGAAAAAAATGGTAGTGCGGAAGGAGATACGGGAACTGACCTTTCTAGAGCAGAAAAGATTTTTCAGTTACTTGGCTCTAGCAAAGACCACCAAAAGCCAAGACTTTGTTATCCTGAGCACCGGAGACAGGTTCCACCGGGAGACTTACCGCTTTGTAGATGCCCCTCTGTATGATGTGTTTGTGTGGATGCATTATTATTCCATGAAAGCAATCCTAATAAACAGTACATTTAATCCTAATAAAAACTTTGCCCATCAAGGCCCAGTATTTCCAGGATGGCATCGCCTAAATCTCCTCTTCCTGGAGAGACAAATCCAGCTGATGACGGGAGATGAAGATTTCGCTATTCCATACTATGACTGGAGGGGAGAGAAGAACTGCTCCATCTGTACAAATGAACTGCTGGGAACCAATGATGCTCAGGGTGTCCTTGACCCATATTCTCACTTCTCTTTCTGGAAGGTGAGTTGCCCTCTGCTATACCTCTACTGTAATGGTGGAAGTTCAGCCAAATATAAGAGATCCACAATCCAAATACAAGATCACTCCCCAAAGATTTTCCCCAAAGATTGTAACAACAGCATGCTGCTTACTCCTACCCAAAGCCATGCCCAACATGTTTCACCACAACAGGGCGAAGTCATGGAGATAGTGAGTACTGAAGGGGAACAAATCTAAGCACTCCCAGAGGGTCTAATTAGACACAGCAATACCCCATCCAAAAACTGACCCTTAAAAATATTCAAGGGTGCATGGGAGTGGTATATTATTATTCTGCTGGAAAATCACATATCTGGTGGTGTACATGACTTGGTGAACAGGGTGTAGAGTAGATCAATGGGTCAGCATCCTCAATACATCCCACTTATAGAAAAAATCTTAATTCAAAATTAAAAGTGTAAACCAAAAAAATAGTAACAATAAAAACATTTCCCCTCTGATCAATAGTGACTTCCCATCTAAATATATTATATTAAAGTGTTACTAACCCCACATCATAAAAACTATCAATACATGATGTATTACATGCTGTTCATACTCAGTCACTATGAGATTCATTTCTATATTCTGCAAAATACCTGGTTGATCCTGCTGTTCTCCCCCATCTGCCCATTTCCCCAATTCAGCTAGGGATTTTGCAGCTGTAGAGGCAACTCTGCACATGCTCAGTTTTCAGTGCGTTTCTATGCTGAGCATTTCCTCTCTGTTACATCTGAGCAGCCCATGGGACCACAGAATCACACATATGGGCATATACACAGTGGTACATGACAGCCCACTCCCTCCCTCCTCCTCCATGTCCACTAACCAGCTAAACAAAGTGGTGGCGGGATATTACATCTTGTTGGATGGAGGCTTCATCTCCCTGTTATTCTAATACACAGGCTGGGGGGGGGGGAAGCCTGTGATTGGCAGAAATCTGCCCACACCATGTTATTGACAAAAAATAAGGATTGTATTTCTAATATATATTTGCATGACAATTTGAGACAGTTTATTGATATTATTTATTTAGTTTTACTCGGTAATCTCAAAGGCTGTTTTTTTTTTTTTATTTCGAACGTGCCTCTCGGGGGGATCGGGAAGGAATTTTTTCCCCCACTGAAGCAAACTTTATGCTTTATTGGGTTTTTTACCTTCCTCTGGATTAACTGTGGGTATAGGATAGTGTAAAAATGTTTTTTTTTTCCCTTTTATTGGTTGAACTAGATGGACTTGTGTGGCTACCTATTTGACTATGTGACCAGCAGCAGAGGACTAGAAGCTCCTCCTGCTTATGTTTCCCTGCAGACAGAATGGGAGAGAGCCGGGTCATGTGACAGCTGTATATTGGAAAAAGCTACTTAGATTTTTTTCAATCAAAATAATTGCAGAGCCATCATCTATGTACAGAAATAGAAAGGGAATGTAAATTAAACAATGTGTGTTCAGTATATCTTTAACTTCAATATCATTTCTCAATACTCGATAGCTAATAATAATTTCTAATTATTCAAGCACAGGATGATAAAATCACTCATTTAAAATTCACATTCATATGACTCTCCCATATGGAAGGAGAAAATAGAAAGGAGCTTCACATAAAGGGGAGGGGAATGGGTAGGGGGAGACAGGAAGGCAAGGAAAAGGGGAAGGGAAATGAGGAACGTAACCCCCTATTCATAATAATCAGTGATATCCCACTTAGAATGAATCCCCTTTGAGGTCCAGAACACTTCTTTTGGCTAATATAGAGAACCTGCCCCCCCCCCCTCATGGGGCAGCCAACTCTCAATAATAATGTTGTCCCTAAGGGTCAGGTCGTCTAATTGAGAATCATGTTGTTCCTTGAAATGATTGGCCACATTGGTCTTTTTGTGGGACCTGATATTAGAGAGATGGCCATGTATGTGGTCATGTAATCTTGTGGTGGTTCTACCTATATATTATTTATTGCATGTAATGCACCCATGACATCAATAAAATATCTCAGCAGTTGGCAGTTAACATTGTCCAATTCCCTAGACTCCACCATTCACATGTGATCAGATAACGGGAGCATCTCCCAGCAAGCAACAACTTGAACAGAAGGTAGCACCACACATGAATACATTTCCATAAAACATCATCCTAACTCTTTTCCTCAAATCTGTACTCTGAGAAATCTTGTCTACAAATGGAAGAGGGTGGAGAGTTCAGCGACTGGTAACTGAAATGGGCAGATTATTTTTGTTACCTTAATTTGGGATAAGGACAAGAAAAAGCTTGTGCTGAAATGTTTCAAGTTGTAACTATTTTATTCCATGGCTGAAACTTTCTTTCTAGTCAGTCTGCAGTGGGTTTAATTTCCCTGATGAATACTGTCCATTGGCTGATTATGAAGAGAAAATGGAGAGATTACATAGGAAGCCAGGAGCTACTCCATATGCTCCCAGTCTGCCCTCCTTCCAAGATGTGGAGAACACCCTGAAACTGAGCAACTTTGACACCCCACCGTTCAATGACACGTCCTTATTCAGCTTCAGAAATGCCTTGGAAGGTGAGTTAGCATGTTCTGTGCCCGCTGCCCGATGAATCTTATCAGTAAATGTTAAATTAAAAGACCTAATAGAAGAATAAAAACTGCTGTGAGGACATCATGCTCAAGAGGAAGGAGGTGGATATCTTTGTACTTTAACTCTGCTCAAGTCACCAAAGGTCAGAGACGTTGGAATGTGATAATAGGGATCGGTAGACAAGTGCCCATCCCAATATAGCAACCTGTTCCTAATAGACACACACTCTTGGGTCTGATCTAAGTGTAGCACTACCCCCTTAGGGGTTGCTGAGTTATTTTCGGGTCCCTGTCACTCTGGACCCGGTTCTGAAAGCCCAACCCCTGCTGACACCACAGTATTCTCTTGACCAGAGTAAATTACCACCAGAAAGTAGACTCATACACAGATTAGAGTAACCTGATGTGAGGTCCATATTAACCTCTTCACGCCGGCCGCACGCAAATGTGCCTCCTGGAGTCTGGGCCTTGACGCCGAGCAGCTGCACATTTGTGTGCAATTAAGAAAAACATATGTGCTGAGAGCGCGCGCCCTGTGTGCTTCCAGCACACATGTCCGGTACTCATGGAAAGGTCCTGATCTCCTCTTTCGATCGGGACCTTTCCCAATCCTGTGACCTCTGTAACATCGAATCACGGTGGTCACATGACCCTAAAACCCGCCCCATCTCCCCGCCTCTGAAACCCGTAAAGGGCTGGGAGGCACCGGTGCCAAGGAGTTAAACTTCAATGTATGCTTGGTTTACCTGTACAAAAGTAATACTGGTATGTGCTAATGACAATGGTGGTAGAGGCTCCTGGTATGTGCTAATGACAATGGTGGTAGAGGCTCCTGGTATGTGCTAATGACAATGGTGGTAGAGGCTCCTGGTATGTGCTAATGACAATGGTGGTAGAGGCTCCTGGTATGTGCTAATGACAATGGTGGTAGAGGCTCCTGGTATGTGCAAAGGCAGTTGTCACTCTTATCAACTGTAAGCAAAGAAACAACTCAATCAGCAGAATCTCAAACAGTGTTAGCAGGCCTGCTTTTCAGAATTTAACCCAATATCTCCAGCCTGAGGTGTTTTATTTAGTCCCCAGTGAGCAAGGAGAACTATCAACGGGTGGACTAGCTCCCTTTGGGCCCTCAGAATCTGACCCAGCTGGTGCACAAGTGGGAAGAGATGTAGGTGACAGTTCCTCAAAGGAATAATAATAGGAAAGGAAAGAGAAAGGGCAAGTACTTTCCCTTAGAGTGGCACTTGATTTAGGTGGTGCCTCTTTAAGGCACTGGGCAAGTGGTAGATTTAAGGCAAGTAAGGTGTCAAAAGCTGGCAGAAGTGTTTGTTCTCAAAGGCAACTCCTCTCCGAGCTGGAAGGACTAATGACAATGGTGGTAGAGGTTCCTTTAAGAGGGTAGGCTGATATTTAAGGGAACACTGATGTGGTCTGACCTGTAGAAGGAGTGCACTGCGGTCAGCTCTGATGATTGGACTGTGATGCAAATGTGGCCCCCACAAGCTATCTGGTCTCACTTGCAGCATTACGTCTGGTCACCGCGTTCCAGGTCACCTACTGGCAGACTGTCTTGCTGAACAGGGCGGCAAGGCTAGCGGTCAGGGACTCCTCCTTGCCTTTCTTCTCTTTAGCTCTGTTGCCTGGTCCGGTTCTCCGGCAGTCAGCATAACTCTCTTTCTGTCCCTGCTCTCCATCTCTCTCCCAGGCTTCTGTATATATCTGCCTCTACCCACACGCCAGCTCCTCTGGGAAATGTAGTCCTCTTTTACATGGCTTCCCAGCAAAGTCCTGCGGTTCAGCATACAAGGTCCATGGGGCTGCTCTGCAGAGTGTGAGTGCCAATGAATTTCAGGTCACTGCCATCTTGTGTTTGTTTTACCATCCTGCAACTGATATTATAGCAGGGTGTTACATAAGTGGAATGGTGTGAAATTCTTTTCAGGTATGTTCTTTCCTCAATGTTCCGGATTAGTTTGGTTTGGCTGATCAGGCTGGTTATGGCTTCAGTAGTAAGCTGGTGCTTCAGGGTGTCTGTGTGAATTTTCAGCCTGGCTTGCAATGCAGATTTCCTGTGTTACCCTAGTTCACATTTGTGCAGGTGGTGCCGCTGAAGATCCGCACCAAAATCCACCCGCACAGAGGAATGTGGACCCGTGGGCAGGCTCCATTAATTCTACTGGCAAGCCGCCCACATTGGAAATTGCAACTGTACTGAGAACCGAGGTTCCCGTGTGGCTGCTGCGTTTTCCGAAGAAGTGCAGGGACTTCTTCCCTGCGGGTCTTGGGGCACAGGAGTCCATTCAAATGAGACGTGGAGATATGAACCTAGCCTTAGTGTCAGCACTGTGATTGCTCAAAGCAGCTAGCTAGGCTGCCTGGGTGGGAAGGGGTTAAGCCAGGGTCTTAATTCTCCTGGGCTTTTCTGGGCTCTGTCCCCCATCCTGAGCTGAAAATAAAAAGAGGAAGGGCTCTGCTCAGAGCTTTGAGCCATGGCCTGCATGGGAAGGAGAGGCTCAGCAGGAAGATGTAACCATCAGCAACATACTTCTTGGGGAAGTTCCTCTGGATCCAGGACTCTTCCACTGTATGGTCCTTAGAAGGTATGCCTTGGGCAGCCTATGTTTTAGTTAGTTAGGGGATGACT